TTCCCACCCTTTGAGTAGCTCTTTAGAGCTCTATGTTTAATATTTATGTAAGATTCGAAAGTCTGTGGAGCATTGTAGTCAATTAACATGAGAATAACTTTTGCGTGATTATAAAGTAGTGCTGTGCTGTTCAGCACGAAAGCTTGGAATGCGAAATAAATTTTGTAAAAAGCTTGTATTGACTTGAATGCGTTGTAATTAAGCAGTGTTGGGATTTGAAAGATGCGACCATGAAAGCTGTGAAGGCCGTGATTTTTTCATTAAAGATATGGATAGGCATCATGAGTTGTTGATTTCCTGTCGAAAATTCGACTTCAAAAGAAAAATCCACAGAAAAATGTTCAGGAACCTTAGGAAATAGACCTTTTTTTAGTTATAACTTGTAACAAAAACTGTATTCTGGCAACTTCTTTCAACTTAGAGAAAAAGGAAATTTGCTAAAAATTGTGTTTTCGTTCTCGGTTTTTTCCTTGCTAAAAATTCTTTCAAGAAAACAAATTACTGAAACTTGCGAGCAAGTTATGGTTCGTTGAATTATAAACAAAGTAAGAAATGAGGTATCGACGATTCACCAGGGAGAAATGTTTAAATTTGGATGCAAGCTATGACTTAGGGCTTAAAAAGTTATTTCCGGTTTCGCTTCAGAAAGAGCGCGAAATTGATAGTGGAGTTAAGTCTGGAAAAATAATAGTATTTAAACGATTTTAGAATCCTCCTGTTTAAAGCATCGCGATGACCCGGGCAAATAACAGAAAATGACCAGACCTGAAATTGCAAAAAAAAAAAAAAAAAAACACCCAAGTAGGGTCGCTAAAATTTTCGCAATGATTACGCTTGCACTGAACGCCGTATGCAGGAATTTGTCGATTTATACATGTGGCATATCGGACAACGGTATTAGGGGAACACCTTTACTCATTAAATCTACAATCTGGGACGTAAAGATACTTATCTTCGAACTCGACGAACAATATTCAAAGAGAAGTTTATAGAATATTCCCATTTACGTGGGACGGAAATCGGCTCAGTAGGGCAATGTGGTTTGGAGGGAATCCATGGCTCCAAGGTGCTTATGAAGTAAAAACAGCCTTCGTGCTATTTTTGCTGAGGCGACATTATCTACATTTCAGATATTTATCAACAGTTGTTGAAAGAAGGATCCAAAGCGCCACTTATGCGGCCAAATGATCACGTTTCTGTAGCATGAAACATCTGGGGTTATAATTACTTTTTCCTTTGAATAGAATGATGGTTCATTGAGGGTTTTCGGGGCGACCGCTTTTGACTGCTTTAACGAAGAGGAGCACCTCTCACCTCTTAAAAGTTATCATATTCCCAGAACAAAAACAGATTGAAACATATTTGGAACTGCGACAAATTTGGTTTCTTTGGTAGAGTGCTAGAAAGGTCCAGGATTCTAACTTAGTTGATAGTAACCCTCAGAAGGTATCTGTCTGGGATGTCATCGAAAGTAAATGGCTAGGGAAACTTTTTCCTCTTTGGATTTGCTGCAGAAGCGACAACTTTGGCCAAAAATGACATTTCTTTCAATTCAACAGCCAAAGGAAAGTATGCGTGAGAGAATTTCCATGGATTTAGAGAAACTAGAGCATTCTTTTGGAAGAAAAATACCTGTTTGTCATCGTGGTCGTTTTGCAAAGCAGATTGAACAAATATTAATGGTATTTAAATGAGTATTTATTGTTTTTGCTTGAAACTACAGCATGCGCAGTTAAAACATGCTTGAAAAGTTTATCTAGAATTGACTTTACTTAAATGTGTGTGCTTGAATTAGAAATTTTTAAGTAAACAGTTATTCGCAATCTGTTCGGGCAATGCCCATTACTTCCCCTATTTGGAAGGATGCACCATGAAAGGGCAACTTCTTACCTACGAAACAGCAAAATAGCTAGGGCTTTTACGCAGACTTCTCAATCTTAAGTCTACTGTACCAACCATTTGGTGCCTTTCAGGTAGGTCCTATTGTGAGATCATTAAAAGGAATATTGTTGTTAAAGACTAATTGTATTAAACTTTAATACAATTAGTTCACAACAACACCACGGTATTAGACTATCACTACAGCTGGAATCTTCTAGTAATAATCTCCTCGACAAAGAGGCAGTTTATCAGATGTCTTACACCTTCTCTCGACAAAGGGCTGAAATCCCACAGTACAATTTATCAAGAAACTCCAAGAGCTACGTTTCGTGTATATTTTAGTTATTATCTACTAACTATTATGTCCCAATTACCATTCATCGTCGTTTTAAACCAATTTCAATGAAAGTTTCATTTTTTGATATATTTTGGTCCTATGGACAAATTCTTCCGGAAGGGCTTGACGTTCTTGGGCGCATAAATATTTAACAAGATTAAATGGACATAGGAATTCTTGAATAGGAAACCGCGTAAAAGCCAATCATCACATTTACTTTCAAACTAACATCTTTATTTAATCCACTCTACGTCACAAACATAATTCCAATAACCTTGGTACCATCTTTTAAAAGAATATTTACGAGTGGTTTTCAAGCTGTTTATAAACCTTGCTCTGAGTGAAATTAATGAAATCTTCATCTTAAATCATGCATGTTACCCAAAAACGTCACTGATGTATGCTACTTTTTAAGGGGGAAGGGGCAAACAACTTTCCTTATCATAACTGAGTCTTTGGGTAATTTGTACAGTGATTTATTGTTATTATTTGAAATAGCTGTTAGTCACGTTTGGTGCACTTATCTCAGATCTGCACTGACAGTTCTTTTTCTAATTTGGATGGCTACACAAAGGTCATCGCGTGGATGGCTCTGAACGCAACGCTAAGCTTAATCCGGATTCCTTTTTTTAAAACAATAGTTCTTCTCTCAGGTTTAGGTGAGATATTTCCACTCCGTCATCGGCATCGTTTGATTAAAAAAAATATGTTCAATAGCTTGTGGGTGAGATCCGTTGACGACATGGGAGATCTTTACAGTAAAACACACATTGAAATAAAGCCTCTTTACTCATTTTGATGAGTGGGATTTCCAACTCCCTCAAGGTTCTCTTATTACTAGTTCTCTCATTTATGTTCTCTTCAGAATGTTATACAGGATATCTTCCATGCAGTGGTCATTTTATAGACAATATCTTGCCTAAACTGAAGTTCCCTTGTTTGTACTTTTTTCAAGCTCATGCAGAATGCAAACCTTCGTTAAGAAACGATATAGAAACCAGGTTAAGTGTTTTCTGTAAGCATTCACTTTCTGTTCACCATTCACTGCCCCCCCCCCCCTCCTACCCCCGTCGGTCACTTAATTTTGTTAGATAAAGCTTATGGTCACTGCACTGTTGAAAATAAGAAAATCAAGCAGTTCTTAATAACAGTATCACACCCTTCCCAGTGCCGGCTTAAGATATTAATGAGAAGCCAATTTCAAGGTACAGAAGTATTCTAGTTCATAATAAGATTTGAAATTCCTCGTGCATGCTATCATTACCGTAGGTCGAGTGTCTCCTTTACTTTTCAAAATTTTATTAACAGCCAATAAACTAAGAAAAAAAACTTGAAAACTGAACAATGGAAAGCTTGGTTTCTTTGTTCATTATACTAATAATAAAAGGTACAAAGTTCATCAGTTTAACTCTGTAGTCGCCTAGTTATGCCTAGAGGACAAGTTTCAATTACAACAAAAGATAAACCTTTCATCACTTCTAACTCCTGCATAGGACTTGGGCGTCTAACACATGACTGAAAATCATCATGTAGAATATCATTTGACATGTTAAAATTACTTTACCACGAATCATATGCCTTGAGCCTTCATATGACGGATTAATCGAGTATATCATATTAAACCCTCGCAATTCGAAAATTTTCAAATAATCCATTTTGAAACAATGATTCCCTCCCATAATAAGGAGCTGGTATCATTTGTAATCATTATGTCACACCTTTGAAAAGGCGAGTTCTGCCAATTCAGAGACGGACAGTCGAATGTGATATCCTTACAGCCAAATCAGAGAATAGCTTTTAGATAGGACAAATCGCCTTTTGGGAACCCGGCCATAACCACATACCCACCATCTGCTCTCATGCACGCGTCATTGAAGTTCATATAACAATCGGATTTCGATTGTAAACTGGCTTGGATCCTATCACTGTTCACAGATAACATTTGTCAGTTGAAAAAGCTCTATAAGGTAAAACGCTGTTGATTTGCCAAGGTTATACGGGTTTTAAAGATTTTTGCAGATTTAGCTAATAATAGATAGAATTCATGACTTTGCATCCAATTTACATCATAGTTAAGTCGTCTTTTTTTAAGTTTGGTGAAGAAATACGAAGAGTATAGACTTCAATGTAAGCGTTGTTGTAACACTCTCTGGACGATTGTCTTGGCTGTCTTTCCAGCACATATGCTTATGTTAAGCCATTATGGCCAAGACGACACAAGAGGTTTAATGACAGAAGAAAGAGAGCTGATAAACCAAAACCACATTTATCGCTTTTATAATAGCATTTTCATTTTCATTTCAACACCAAAATCATTATATGATATCAGTTGATCGGAACAGTTTTTTAGTGAAGGATATACTAACGCAAGTAGATTTCCTGAGGTCTTTCAAGAACGAAACGCAAACCTAAAAGAAGCTATTACAGAAAGCTGGCAAATTAACATTAAACCAATTATTCAATTAAACCAGGTCAAGAAATCATAATATCCCAGAGAGCAGCTGTGTGACTTAAAGACCTTATTTGCATTCTGTACAGTTGAAAGTCAAGGCACTGCCCATAAAGAGAAGGACAGGACTTAATACATACTTTGAATGGCTTGAAAGAGAAATCTTAAGCTCCTTAGCAAACCAATATTTTAGTCTAAGGTTTCCATTTCTTCTAGTAGTAACAGTATCACTCGCTTCACCTCAAAGGTGCACTCAATAGATAGAAAAGAAATTTTCTTTGTAGGATATTTATAACTTCATTTAGAAAACATATCGTATACGGCCTGTGACGTTAAAAGAGGCGAGTGTAGTGGACAGATTGTGTTATTTTGTCGAGTACCTGCTTACTAAGCAGGATGTAAGAGGACACTCAGTCTATTTTTATAGCTGAACACTATATAATTCAACATAAGACTTCTGACAGAACATCTACATGAAAGCTCTTCTTGTAAACGCACCATCTTCCTGAGGACTGCCATAGAAACTGCTCCATGGTAAGTGGTGCAACTGAAAAACACTCTGGAAGGCGAGGGGGGTAAGTAGGGAAACCGTATTCAAGATATGCACATGGAGGAAAAACATTAATCTTGAAATCTTTGCTGTTTGCATGTAATGTTAATGTTTAATCAGCCGGTCACGGGCGTCGAAACAACAGATTGAGGCCCAAATTTCTACGTATCTGTTCTTTCGTCATGGTAATCGGCATCAATGTCCGCTTGGTTTTTGTTTGTTTCATGTCCAAAGTGAAATTAGAAGTAGATTGGTCTTTTTTGGATCGTGTCCAGTTGTTAACGACTTCTTCCAATTTGACAGTTCTTGGGGACAATTTTAAGCCTTTCTAGCAAATTATATTCAATCAATAAAGGATTTGAAGTCGGTTAAGGTTTGTAACACAGTTTGCATCAACGTTTAAAGAAATTCTTTCTACAGAAAAGGTCTTTGTAAAGGTTGTGACGTACAAAACGACTTATTTGTCGATTGTCTGTTTTGCGCTGACCCCGGATGCGCCTATTTGCCCCTTGAACATATTCATCCGGGCATACAGGATTGCCATGTTCTTTTCCTAAACTATTTAAGAAATCGGACACAACATTACTCATAGTGTTGTACTTTACAAAACTTAACGTTTATGAGCAGAAACTAAGTTAATCCGGAAACAAAGAAACATTCTTAACCAAGCTATTTATCGGCCACTAATAACAATTATTGCAACCGCATTCATGAACCGTTATCATGACATGATACAGGTAGTCTTAAAATTATGGAAAAAAGTAGTAAACTTTTCCTAAAACAGCAACAACGACAAAAAATGGGAAACACAGACCACCTAATCTGAGAAGACTGTCGGCTGAGAGACGAAACAAAGAGTTTACAAACACAGTATGTTGTTTGTGGGGGTGTCTTGAATTAAGTATCAACACCTAGTTCTTGCATTTTTTAGATGCTAAATGAAACACATACTGGTTTTATTGTTGGTTAAAGCCCCAAACTGATTAACGAGTAATTCGGTATTTCAAGATCAACAAATGTCGTGGGGACCTCCTGCAAGGTTCCCCCTCTGTCGATGTGTCCGAGTCGGCCGTCGCCAAGTCATCAAAAAAATTATGGAGATCAGGCGGGAGACTCGAAGCAATTTTTTCAACCTCGATTCTGACGCGTACCAAATTGAAACCTGACTTAAAAGTTACGAAACCGCTCAAGAACAACAAAACACCTTTCTTAACTGGATTATGATCTGTCTAAGCTCATTAAAAATCGTGAGGATTCTACTCGAGCGTGCTCGTCAGTTTGCCTATGACATTTATTCTTCAACAGAACTAGTTTGTTAGTCGTTCAAAGACCTATCGAAAAGTGCATAGAGATACTTATGAATACTCGACGTCCCCGTGGGTTTATTTGTTAATTATTTTGTCCGTGTCATAACAGTGCCACGAGATACCACGAGGGATCATAAGATAAGCTTGTTATACTACCCCCTACATAGAGAAAGGTCAATCCAAAAGCACCGAGTAAAAGGATAAGATGTCAAAACAGATTTAAATGGGAAGTATTTTTTTTGGATTAGTCGCCAGTTTACCATTGCCATGGAATCAGTTCTATAATTTTTCCGTTTTATGTTCACTCGAGACTTAAAATAGCTTTCGACACGATCATGGGAAAACCAAGTTCAACTTCCTTATCTATGTAAAATCGGCAACTCAGTTTGTGGTATCAACCATTCATTAACTTACTGAGTCCATTAAAACCCTTTTCCATCGTATCTCCCACCGGTCGAAAGAGTTCGTGATAAATACCGTTAATCAGCTCTAAAGGATAAGTAGCTGTTTTTATGGCAGAGACCCAAGTAACCAGTTGCCCACTAACGGAAATTCCCCGCAGTACTGCAAATCTATGACCTTGTTTTTCAATCTTTCCTCCTCCCAGCTGAATCAACGCAGAAGAAATTCATCCAACAAAGTTTTAAAGAAAAATCGTTGATCTCGGGATCAAAACCTACAAAAAGGTAGGGGTATTAAAACTTTAGCGTTAATCAATTCATCAACGTTGTCTTCTTTTAATAGAATTCAATCTTCCGGACCTTCAGTTACGGCCAGTTAGGAAGTTAGGAAAAGTCATCCGCAGGAAATTTTGCACAGGATGGGACACATTCATGGATAGCACACACTGTGTGAGAATATTATATTCGTGTGGGGCACGCTTAAGCAACAAATGAAAACAGGGAAGTCAATTAAATGACTTATTATGATGAGAAAAATTTCCGGCTTTTCTATCCTTGCCCACAGAGTCCGCGCTTAAAAGCTAGTTAAATAAATATGCGAAGTCGCGAAATAACAGCGTCAATCCATGATTTAGTCTCCGGCTCAGTATTTGTTACCTTTTAGCTCTCAATTTTTGAGTTTTTGTCTAATTCAGGCCGAATTTCTTTGAGTTGAACCATGTCAAAAACTCGCAGTGTTAATACATCTACTCCACCGTTCCCTGAAAGGAAAAGATACTGTCAGTAGTTTTGATGAGTTGTTTAATAAGCTCTTGACGTGTTTCGGTCACGTACAAGTCTTCATCGCTGCTATTCCTATTAGGGGCTGAGCTACGTAAGCTGCTTTTTTGGACTGCTCAGCCGCCAGAAATTCAAATTTATCTCTTTCTGTGCGTTCTTTAACTGACCTGGTGAAATTTCATAAACCATCCACTTAACCATCGCTTCAATGCACGCGACGCCAATTCTTAAAAACTACATAATTGAATGCGCAAGCACGGTGTATCTGAGAGGCGAAACGCTGCCGGAAGTCGACTGTCCCTTTCCCTGGAAGCCGTTTCAAGTTATTTATATTCAGCCAAAACGTAGGCTTTCCATATATTTACTTGAAAAGAAAAACTACTCTAAGCAGTTTTATTTGCATTTTGACTCAAGAAACTCCTCTGCTGACCTAATTTCTCTAAAGAAGAAAAACTGGGAAAGACACAGCCGTGTTTGACGCATGAAAGTTCTGTATGTAATATTTGTCGATATCCCACTAAACTGAAGAGCGATGAAAATGCGTGTAGCGAGTGCATACCATAACTGGCGAATGTTTCTACCTTTATGGACATTATAAATCTAGGTAAAGCTGCTCAAACATACATGGTTTTGAACCGAAATTTTGACTAAAGTGAACTTATGAAAACTGACCATTTCACACAGCTTGAAATTCCTTACTGCTTTTTAGTCAGAGGATCCAAAACCGTGCCCAAGAAATCATGATCATAGTCTAGTATTGGCATCAAATTACTAGATCAATTCTGTCTTACTCACGATAGACCGTATTTTTACTACAAAAGAAAAGGAATACTTAAGCATTGGCACATGTCCTTCTGATATAAAAGGATCTTAAAATGGTGATTATCACCCTAGTAGAAAGTTTTATTCGATGGGCGGACGGAATATTTAATGAAGACATGTGATTTTGTTGTGAGAAGAGAAATGCTGTGACCTTCCCGGCGCTTCACGTGTAAATTTCCCGACAGTGGGTGTTATTTGTTTACTGTCGTTAATTGATGACCAAAATTAACCAGCCCGAAAATGAAACAAGAATACGGAAATTGTCTGTAATATCCACCAAAGCCTGGTGATCCCTAAGAAATAGATTTACTTGAGGAAAACAAACAAGTCTCTATAAGCCCATCAGCTTGTGTATCCGCTTTTTAGTATACACATAAGATTAGAAATATTAGGCCGTCTGAACATACCTTTAATCACTTAGAAAATGTCGTGAAAATTTTTGCGTAGGAGAAATATCTGCTCTTTGGAGGCTAATGTAATACAATATCTTGATGATTTTATATCAGTGAAAACAGCTATGTTCTTGAAGTAAAACCTTAATTTAGCGCCCAAACTTTTTAGCGGCACCAGCATATATTTTTTATCGAGAGAAACAAAATCTGAAACCCAAACCACAGGTATGTCATCTTTGGGTGCTGCCTAATCATACCTTGTGGTATATCTCAAAAGGACTCTTCAGAGTCGGGAATAAACAAGAAACCGTTATGATAAGGAAAAAAACTAGCAACTTTAACACGGCTAGGTATTTGATCTCGAAAAGAGACTGAAAGAATTCAGTCAGAAATGTTTTCACGGGGCAATAAAATTCGACGCAGTCGAGTTAATCCTTGTATAAAGCCCATAAGATAGATTGTAGAGATAAGGAAATTCTGGAAGCCTGATCTGGACAGCCGCCGACTGAAAGACTCTCTCTCCTAGTCTCGGTACATTAAAGAGGCGGTAAGTTTTTTTTTTCGCGGCGATGTCCGCGGAGAGCGGATTTAAAGTATTGCGTTTGACGAAAAACGAAAAAGCTCAGATTGTTGTTGATTCAGTTTACGTTATTCTCAGATTATAGAATTTATCGATAAGAAAATTTCTCGCCCTACTCAAAACCAAAAGATTGTACAAAGTAAACTCCTCTCTTCCTCTTTAGCTGTTCACGAAAAGAAAATGCTAATACAATCAAATGCAACGATAAAGGTGAAGCTTGATTTTCACGGAGAAAAAAAAAGTAGAAACTCGCCAATAAGACTCTTATCATGATATTAAGTATTTCTTTGAGATAATATTGACTTTCAGTAAAGACATACATTTTTTGCGATAACATTAAGGCAAAAGAGCCTTTGTCAAGGATTACCGAATCTGATCTTGCTCCGTATCGGAAATAAGGCTCAAAATAACTTGGCCGTCATTGAAAGTGTAGGTACATCACTTACATAGATCTTTTAATGATCGCTATGCAGTTTCGAGAACATCAAGTTGAATCGGAACAATCAAACCTTTATAAGTTTCAGTGCAATTCAGCCATGATTGGCATTCAGCTCGAAGCAACCTCAAAATCGGTCAATGAAAAAATACAAACTGTGATCTTCACAGGACCCACCTACCACGGACCACAGATTTTAAAGATGTAAGAATATAAGAACTATGAAATAACAATTCCAACCATTTGCTATGCAGTACAGCTTTCAAGATTTTTCCAATTTTCCTTTCTTTATGTATGGTAAAAAGGTATTGATCTCTTCCCCAACGTGTTGCATTAAAACGCTTGAAGATTGGTTTTTGGGGCATGTTTAAAGAGCGAAACTTGGCATTAACTTATGGATCGGATAAATTCCCTATAAGTGTTCCAAAAGATGCTGGTCCTTTACTTTAGACATGTTTACTCATACCTGTTGATATCATCACCTATTCAAATGCTCCACACAATGAAGGATTATTTTGTTTTTCAATCGTCTAAAGCTCTAAGACAAGACAGCCACATTCGACATATTCCGGTTACGAATTCCTGTAAATCTCATGGGAATTTAAGGTCAGAAGACAGCTTGCTCACGCTAAAAATATTTCAAAACTGCGCAAGAAAGAAGATTACTATTTCCCTATCGCATTATGACTCAAACTGTAGTAAGATTAAAAGTTGAAGCTTGAATGATTTTAAAAACTGTTGGTCTCAATGGGGAAAAAGTCGTGAATAGGAAAATAACTTTCAAGAAATAATGAGAAGATGCTAGTGCCGCTCATTAGTCAAAAAAAATTATTATTACTGTTTTGTTCCTTTTGTTTGTATTCCAACGTAAATCTTTAGTTACAAAGAAAATGTAAAACAAAAAATGTTTTCATTAATTATGTGACTTTATTTTGAGGGTTCCTTTTTTTAAATATCCTCGTGCCTTCAGCTGTAAAAGTATAATTTCTAAACAAGCTTTTACCCATTTCAGTTTCCTTTAAAAGACCACGCGTCTGGTTCGTAATTTATTGACAAGTTTTCTTGATGACTCTCTTGAGTGACACATGTACGTCACAATCACGCCAAACTAGAGTGGAGCACAGGCTAAACCTTAAGTCATCGGTATACATGTAATTTGAATAGCTGGTGTTTAACTGGTGGAGTTACTTCTTTTTATTTTTACGTAAATTCAAGTCCATGAAATTGAGATTGGAAGGATGGCTGGAACAAGTACACCGTACATCTCATGAAGTAACTGGTTCACATCAGGAAAATTCGGATCGTAATTGTTCCAATATCATTCTATTCTCATAAATTGGGGAACCTATAACAGATCACATACAGATATTTTTAGGCAAGATCTAAAGCACAAGTGACGAAGGTAATTTGACTGCTGACCTACGTTCACCCCTTTGGGATTGCGGGAGCGTGCTACTGAACTCGCTCTTGCCGTAAGTTGTGAAGCATATTTCACCTTTTTTTTTCTCCCATTTGGAAAGTTGAAAGCCTTGACAACTCTCCCATAAAGAGTTTTTGGTACTTTTTTCTGCTTTGTATAAGGATCATATTAGCCGAAAGTATAGTTTGCGATTTTTAAATAGTTTTACTTAAAAGGAATATGAGCAAACCGTGGGTACAGATTGAAACACCACGACAACAACAAAAAGAAATGCTCAAAGCAGTAACAGGGAATGAAGTCTGCAAAGGAATATTCTGGCTATAAGGCTACTTATAAAAATCGCTTTATTTGATGGTTGAGGAATTGAATTTCTTCCTTCCTCCGGCCGTAGAGTCACACAGTTGTACGACGACATCAGCGCACTGCCATTTTCAATAAACTTAGGAAGTATGTCCCAATGCTAGGGAATGAAAATTAAATAGAGATCAGTGAAATAAATCGGAACTGCTCATGTAGGCAAAGAATGAGCGAAATCTGGCTGTAGTCAGGCGAATGATAATTACCTAGTAAATGTGGCAGGTGTTTCTATTATCAGTTTGGATTTCATGCATTGCGATCAATTGTGTTCAATATGAAATAACTTGCATTATTTTTGGATTGTTTGCATTCTTTAGGAAAGTGTGCTATCTGTGTAATGCTTTTTCTATACAGTGATTTGTCTCTTAATTAACTTCGGAGCAGGAGCGGTTAATATGGTATTTATTGCATACTTGGATGATACCTCTAACCGTATTAAAGTTGAGATTTAGTTAAGAGTTTTAAGGCGTGTTACTTTGCTACCATCGATAAGAGACATTGAGTGTCCACACTTCTGCACTTTGTCACAGCCAAGAATAAAGTATCACAAAACAGCTCGCTCGAGGTCATGGGGAAAAAAATAATAACTTCTCACAGCTGTATTTGTCGAGTTTGTGTAAAGAGTCGGCTATCGAGATTCGCAAACAACACCGCTTCTAAACAAAGAACCGCACGCAAGCGGAAAGCCATGTTCTTGTCGCACACACAGACCGCAACATAAGCTATTTTTGTTTCCTGATTGGGTTTGAAGATTAATGACATGTATGAGCCACGTGACCTAAGCTATGATGAGCCCGTTGCGATGAAATATAACGCGTGTTACTTGTCCACTGTTGCAGATAGACCACCACTGTTCCTGAGTAACACGTCATTGAAAGCCAAGGCTGAAACATATTCCAATGGATATCTTAAGGGGCCTCCTGTTTATCATTGCTCTGCATCACTCCACATTCTACACCCATGCTGATCAGACATCAATCAAGGTAATAATCATCGTTGTTCTATTTTTCGACCAGAATGGTTTGTTGTCTTACTTCTTTCTTAGTGCACGAGCAAAGGCCTTAGTGACACGTGGATCAATAAGCATGCGTTAGTCGCTCAGTTTGAATTTTATTGCCCTCAGCTTGATGCAACTTTGGCAGATCTTGATGTTTGGGAGGAGAGAAAACAGATAACTATTCTAATCAATCAAATAATTATCGGCCTTTCCCAGTGAAAGCGATCATTAGATACGTAAAATACTACTTGTGACGACCCGATGTCAATTGTTTACAAGTGAACTAGGACTTGTGCCGTTTCACTTTTTCTTGAGCTATTGTAGACTTAGCATAGAGGGTCAACGGAATCATCTTCAAAAACCAATGGGGGAGACAGATTCTCTCTATTTCAGCGTTGTCATTCTTTTCCTGAAGGTCAAGATTCCATTAGACTTGTTAAACCGACGGGCGCGTAAAAGCAAAGAAATTTCTATTAGATTAGTGTTTATTATGCATATTAGCGTCGAGCAAAACAATGCAATAAAATGTTCTTTTCTTTTTGTTTGTTATCTGTGACAACAAAGGCCACAGACGTAAAACGATGTGATTTTAACAAATGAAGCAAACTAATGAAACCCAGCGATCGTTTTCGATAGTAGATCACAGATCCAAGTTGTGTAGGAAATGTAACCTGTACATTTAACTTTTGCAGAAAAATAAATCAGTTAACAAGCCTCATGGACGGCACGTGGCGAACAAGAGAGGGTGGTCTACATTATTTGACCCACACGGCGGGAACAGTTCATACCCAAACATTTCGACGGCTGTCCATTTGAGACAAAATGTCTCTCAGACTGAGGCAACAATCGCATCTTTACATCCAGTAGAAACTATTCGAGGAGAAAAGAAAAGAAAACGAAGAAGGAAAAAGAACATGAAAAAGATGCTCAAGAAATTGCGAAGTGGAAGTCTCGTGGGGGTAAGATAATTATTCACAAATCTTAAGGATTGTTTACTCTCGTGGGACGTTTTTTGGTTAACCACATGTTTTGAGGCACAGCATGGGTAGTTTGTAACGTGTTTTCTCCATACACCTAAACAGACTACATCAGGGCCAAAGATCTGATTATAAGTGCTAGGTTCTTCATTATTGCTCTCCTGTTGAGACATTTCAAAATTAATTGCAAAAAAATGACACTTAATTGCCCCGGAATCTCCCGCGGCTAAAGTTGTTTTCCAAGAGTTAATTGCTCATTTTCAAGGTCGTTTGCTATCTTCTTCTCACTTAAATGTTATGGAAAATTTACCTTCATCGATCAGGATTCTACAACTATTCCAAGCAAGGTAATAACCCTACCAGCCAGCGGCGGCTAATGTACTATTTGATTGATGGCATGGTCTCTACGCTCTTTTCATGGGTCATTTCACCGACTGAATAAGAGGGGGTCAAAATCCTTTTTGATAACTCGTCTTGCCCACCTGTGCTGCGCACGCCTTTAGATACAAAATACCTCTACAAATCATATACTTTTGATCATCCGAGAGTCAAATTTATGATTCTTAAAGAAAAGAGAAAGAGTCTCGAAAGATAATTTCCTCTCTAATAAAAACACTCCATTCCAATGAAAACATTCAACGATATTAGTAAATTAAGCTCGCCGTTGGTGGCGCGCTTAAATATCTCTCGAGATATAAATAGATTTGCTTAACTGAAGGAAGAAGGTCGGTACTTTTTCTATGGAGGCTTGAGGCATGAACGGAGTCTGCTATTTTCGTGAGACTTAAGTAAAAGAACTTGGATGCAATGCAATTGAAGATCTGACGAAGTATATTTTCTGATTGGTCGCGTAGGATAATTGAATAACAAAAGGAACAGAATGCAAATGATAATAAATAAATGAGGGAAAATCATTTTACATAACACGTACTTGTTTTTTTTTAGAGAGAGCAGTTTTTCCAGTTACCGGCCCATGGCTTAATGTGGGGCTATTTTAATTTTTTTGCTTTCGTTTCAATTTTAAATTGAAACATTTACATATCACTAAATTTGATTGTGCTCTAATTGAAACTGCAGCAACACAGCCGATTTACGACCCACGCGAAAGAAAACACACTGGCATTAATCTGAAAATAGACCTATTATCCCAGGTCCAGGTCCAAGGTTCAGTTCTTACAGAAAACAAACAATATCATCCAAACGGCTCCTTGCAAGATTTCTCACAAGAAATGAGGAAAATTTTTTATTTTTTCAATCGATTAAACGCTTTTCAACTGTACCAGCATGTTTTCTATTGAAGGGCGCAATTTCACAACTCGCCAGCGATTAGCGACTGAATATAAGCCATTAATTATTTCCGGTTCTGTTAGGTGTAAATAACCTACAGACACGAGGTTAGAGATAACATAAGAACTTGTTAATTTGTTAACCTATTGTAAATTGGTGAGGCGTGGAAAAAGGTCAGAGCATTTATGGGCCCAACGGAAAGAAACGCCCTCAGAAATCAATCTTCATGGATGGTATTCGGACTTGATAATTGATATTTCTGGAGTGGATAAACACAAACAAAATAATAGCTCTGTTGATTTTAAACCATATCACTCTTCCTATATTCGAATGTTGTCGGCCACTTCAAAGCAAATAAATTTTGCGTAGATTCACGTGGGTCGCGGGAGACACTTGGATTTCACGAGTGAGAGACCAAAATACCTTTTAGACTATTTTGGAAAAGAAAAAGAGAAAAAAGAAGCTTAATGTGTACTCTGGATTAGTCATCTATGATATCTCTTCGCCGATTAGTTTATTTCATCAAAGGGCAGAACCTTGATGAACACAATGCGTGGGTCTTGCAGCGGTAATTAGTACGTGGGTGCGTTGAGGTTAGACGACTCGAGCGAAATATATCGTTTTCGACTCCTGAGACAGTCATTAGAATATTTTTTTGACATCTTCAATACTTTCAAATATACCAAATGCACAAGGAACTCTTTCTACGCTTATATAGTTTTCTAACTGAAGTAACCACTTTGGAATTATGATTAACCTTGCACACGTTGGCACTGAGCCCAGGAGATGACTGACCCTCTGACAAGTGCGTGGGCGACACAAAACCGACAGCTGCAGTATGCTCTTTACGTTATTTTATAACGCTGAAGAGGCGGCTTGTCAGTCATATTTAGCTTCTTTAAGATTCAGAACTTTGCAGTTCAATATTTGGGGAAAATATTGCCGAATATTGTATCAAAATGCAAAATACAAGAGAAACCAAGAGGACAAAAACTTTTGAGCATTTTGATCCAGAGATCCATTTTAATCTTCCTTTTATCTGCTTTGCGTACTAGCCTTAATCTCTTTGAGCTTTCAAAATAACACAGATTTGATGTAATTACTAAATAAGAGCTTGATATTGTTATCTTCTAAAATAGTTGTCTTTTGATTACCCAGCGATCTGTGGGTAAAATGCTTAGTGTGCGTAACACAACATGCATGCATAGTGATGTTCAAGAGTCACTTGCAAAGAACCACTTCAGATCGATTTATAAAAAAAATTGAAAATATTGATTGAGTCTTTATTTCTAACGATGAACCCTTGTGGAAGTGGAATAATCGTTATTTCAACTAGAAATCATCCCTTACATTATGCACGATGATCGTTTAATGTACCCCTTATATTATGTAAGATTTAAATCAAAACAAACGAGTTCTGCTCTGACAAAGGGCTAACGCTCGAAACGTCAGCTTTGAAACTCTTAACGGTAGCCAATTTACGTTATCAACTCAGTCGATAGTAAATTTCCCTGCTATACTCTCCCACCGACGCAGCACCAGAGTTTCTCTAGAAAGTTACCCCCTTTTTATGATTTTCCATAGTGATTCCCGGCTTCAGAAAATTGTTCTTGTAGACGATACTGACTAGTCTAAACTTCACCTGTAAAGGTCATCTTCGTTCTGATGACGCCTGGGTCCATGTATAACTAGCATTTTTAAAGTGATAACGTGACACCCTTTTTTTCATGCTTACCGCTGATTCTGGTTGATGCGAATATCCAAAGAATTAAGCTTCGAGGTCCAAAAGGAATGTTGAATCCCGTAAATTAAAAAATAGAACTTCTAAAAGAATAGTACAATATGCGCCAGGCTTTCCTTTTTACTAGTTATTAATGATTTATCTATATGCAAATATTTATTCTTTAAATCACGTGGTCATGCGTGGGAGATGTGAAGTGCATCAACATGAGTTACGGTTTAACAGTGAAACCTGTCAGAACAAACCATGACAACTGGAGTGGATTACTGAGTAGTGACCCTTGACACGTTGAATAATTTGATCAGAGTCCTCTTCAAGACATTTTGATAAGCACATTTGTTTGCTCTGCTGCCAACTTGTATGTTCATTACATTTAAATTGATTTCTCAAGAAGAGCATGTACTCAAGTACTTTGATATTCAACATCAATATGATCTTTATTACTACTTTCGCAGCACAAAGAATCGCCTTCTACGAAGAGAAAATGTAGAAACTGGAGCCAATGCAAGAAAGACGAGTGTTGTATAAGATATAGTGTCAATAGAGGATTCTGTAAGCGAAGACCCCAAAAGGGACAAAGATGCAAGCCTGTTCTTTTGGTAAGATAACTGTTGATAGTAATGTTTAGACCTCTTTCTGATTAAATTTACTGTAAAACCAAGCCCTCAAGTGATCAAAATAGCCCAGTACAATAAAGCTACCAAGTCGAGAAGCTTCGCCTCTACTTGGCCCAAATAGAGAAAGTGGTTAGAGTTTGCCAAACCATTTACAAAGCGTGGTAAAGCAAAACCAATGTAATCCCGAAGATTTTCTACCTCTTAGCTTTGCTGTAAATTTCCATATTCTAGAATACTAAATACGTAGTTGACCTGATTTTCCTTCTGTTAATTCAGCCTGGTCTGAGAGATTGTCCATGCGACGAAGGTCTAACCTGCACCCGTTACAGAACGACGAAATGGGGTCAGAAAAAACACAGATGTGAACGTTTAAGAATTAGTGAGGAAGAGGAAAAAGAGCAAAGGTATTCTACTGGATTAAACAAGAGAACTAACAAACGAAATACGAAATAAGATCAAAGTGACTTTTCAAGTGGAGCCGAGTACAGGCCTGATGGAAATGCATCAATATGAAATGTGCCAGATAAAGAGTTAAACTTAACCACTGAACCAGTCCCGTCATAATTACGAGGTGGCCCTCATTACCTTCAGCGTTTTCATTGATGACCTTGAAAATAGCAAAGAAAGAAGAACTACTCCAAATTAGCCACATTGCATGTTGCTCTGTTCCCTCCCATGCAAAATACTTGCAAGTAGCTTAAGTAAGTTACTGTTTTACCACAGATCGATTCATTTGGCTGCGACGTAGAAACTGGATTTAGATAAATGGAAACCTAAAAGATTTTGGTTTTCCAGTGCAGCTTAAGACCGAAGAAGTAAGACCAGACCAAAGTGTAGCTAGAGTGATAAGGGTTGACGAAGATTAACACGCATTTCTAACGATGAACACGAAAAATTTAAGAATAAAAGTTCTGTTCTTCTACGTAAACTAGAACAGCCGGCCCCTAGAGGTCACCAAATGCCAGTCGATTGACTACTTTATTGAACATTTGAATGATCTCATGTGTTATTGAACTTCTAGTTTTCACAAAAGGTTGGCGAAAACTAAGAAACGTAAATTATATTTTCTACTGCGTTGACGTTAAATGGTTATGAAACTTTTTGAAATTATGATGGATGCCTGCTATCTAACTTGAAATGATTGCTGAATTTATAGGTACTTGAACGGAGAAAATTTCGGTTATATCGAAATCAGCAAATTTACCGAAGTATTTTCAGGATTGTGCTGCGCAACGAGCATTCGCTAACGAATTAAGAAAACCTTAATAATTAACAATGAAAAGAAAAAGGTAGGAAAATACGAAAATGATGAGAACTGTGAAAACTGAAAATCTCGCTTAGAGCTTTCAAAGTTGTGAGATTTGCGATCAATCCTGGACATACCTCTAAAAATAGGACGTAAAAGATCTTGAATGGGTAGACTCATTGAAATTCGTTTTAATCGATGTGGTCTTTTTCTCTGCTCTCGTGACCTTGGTGACGAAGCCAAACCTAGGCTACGAAGACCGAAACCGATTTAGCAGGTCTCCGTGAATCTCGACCACTTTTATCGCGAGAATGTTTTGACGACCCTTTATTCGCAAGGGGTGTTATTCATTCAACAGGTACTTACGTACAACATATTTATCATGTACCAAGTTGATCACAGGCACTAACGATATTAAGATGATATGTTAAGAAAGAAATGAGTTTCAAGTACGCTTGGTAAAGCTGTGTGATAGACATGGAAATCAATTGGGTTATTAATAAGCCACGACTGAGAGCTGGGGTTTTTTATTTGTTTTGCTTTTGATCATATATGCGAGAACAATTGTAGTCTAACAGCAATTGTAATTGGTGGCTGTAAATATAGAATAAAAACTGTAACGTAAATTGTTCAGTAGCTTGGCTTCCATCGACAAACCTGGACTTTGGATTACAAGAGTAAGCAAACTAAGAAGAGAAAATGACATAGTGTTGCTAGTAGAAGCATAAAAATGGCGCATGTGAACCTGGTTTGTTTGGGCAGTGATCTTAACTGAAAAGTGAGCTTGGAAATCAGTAATGTATGCGATACTTAGGGACCAGTTTTGCCAGGGGAAATAACACATAGAATAAAAGCACTTGGTAAACTCACATAGACACTGTGCAAATGTTACTGAAGTTATGATTCCTACATCGGGCAATTGACCACTATGTGGCCGGCAACCGACCTCAGTAAAAGAAATAATTATTTATTGCAAGTTGCTAGTCCAAGGTAATAAAACAAAATTTAACAAAGTTATTGTCTTTATTAATTTGTAACCGTGATAATTTTAAATGTTTCACAGGGGTTTTTGTCAGTTCTTCTAACGTCATACACCGCATAAGTGCATTCCGTGGATTTCAGTTGTCAGTTGCGTTAGAAACATAAGTTAATATTCTTACGATATTAATCCAATGGCAAGGTCTCGTAGCGACAGTGTAGAGGAATTGACGGTCTCCTGGTACAGCGGCAAGATTCTGGTGTTCGAGGGAATCGACCACTTCCATAAAGTTGCTGAAAGTGGTGATCCGACGGAGTAAGCTATTACTACTATATTCCGCATTTCCGTATTTCTAGGAGATGGTACTGATGGCTTCGGCCGTGGGAAAAGCAGTGCCCTTAACAAAAAAAAAAACTGATTAACGGCCAAACTCTTTTAATTCTA